CTGCCGAAGCGAGGTCATTAGGCTGACCGCCGCATTCAGAAGCTTGAACTCCAGCGCCCGTCTGAAGTTCGCGGGCCACTTCTTGTGCATTCGCGGCCAGCTTCTTGCAAGAACTGCTGGCGGAGCTGAACCTTCTGCCCGTGCGCCTCCGGTTGCTCGCGGCACTCGGCGAGCTCGGCGGATGCAGCCTGCAATGCCTTAATCTTGCGACGAGCTGGCGCACGGGCCTGCTTGGTGCGCTATTGCACGCGCTGCGATGGCGGGTGTTCCTGCTTCTCGAGCGCCTTCGCCACCTGGGTATACCTCCTTGCGCGCTTCTTATCCCTCGCCTTCGCCCTCGCCTTCGCGGACACCGCCGCAAGCTGCCTCGCGTCGGAACTGACCGCGCTGACCAACCCAGTGCCAAGCAGGAGAAGCATGGGCCATCGTCAGGCGCTTCAGCACCTGCACCTCCTCGGTCCTTGCCGCTGAGCTTGGCGTTGGAACCTTTTAGGGCGAGCCCGCTGTCCTTGCGCCTTGCCCCTTGGGACCTTGCCGCTGAACAAGCACCCTGGGCATTTGACCCTGGGGCCTTCAACGCCTCCACCTCCTGGGCCTTGAACCCTTGATCTTGCGCCTTGCCGCTTGAACTTGCACTCTTGCCGTAGACGCCCTCCAGCCTTCTTGCCCTTGGATCTGTCGCCTCCGGCGTTCTTGGGCGGCGGCGTGGCCGCAAGCGCCCGCGCGCTGGCGCTGCCCGAGCGCCCCTCGTGCTTCTCGCGAAGTTTCGCTCAGCGAAGCCCGCGCTGCCAATGGAAGGAAAGAGGAGAAGTTGATGCACGTTCTTTCCAAACGCTTTCGTCCATGACGGCTTCATGTCGGCGTTGTTGTTGTTGTGGGAAGCAATCCTTCACTTTGTCGTGAAAAAGACTTCGTCCATTAATTTCTCGGTCTCCCATACTGTCTTTTCACATTGCTCGCTGCTGGACGCGCACAGTTTGGCATGACGTACGTTGTCTCAATGTATCCGCACCGCTGCTGCGACAAACCTTTCCGAACCACGCCGCTTGACTTTTCAATGGCTGCGCCGTGCAAAGTATTTGTTCCGCTCTGTCCAACGGGCTGAAAGAATGGTTTGACAACGAGCTGAAACATGTCAAGCACCACTTGTAGGGCCACAAATGGCGTCGACAAGAACAATAGAAGCCACCGTCGCGATCATGAGAAACAACATGGTCGATCGGCATCGTATATAGGGTGGGATATCTTTGTAGCGAATGGGATTTGGGAAGCCCCCAGCAGTAGAAGGGGACTGAGGCAAAACTGTCCTCCCTCCTCCCTCCTCCATCGTCGTGCCAGGCCACGTTCCTGGTTCGCCATTCGTCTTCGTCGTCGCCGCCGCCGCCGTCGAGGTTCGACCGAGGTTCGAGAACTGCTTGATTTGGACGTTTGGGCAGCTCCTCAGGCCTCCGGAAGCATCTGGGGACCGCTGGAGGAGGTCGCTGGGAAGACAGCGCGACACAACGCCGCCTGCGCCTGCCTGAAGCGTAGATCCCGCGGCCTCCCTCTGGTTTCCGCACCCCCGCTGGGACGGTGGCCCTAGCAGGGCCCTTATAGCAAGCCAACCTGGAAACCACTCTGTCACCACACCGCAATTCGGGAACCATTGCTAATGTCGCTTATCGTGACCCGCGCAACAAGCCACTGTTTTGCCAAAGGCCGCAGCCGCCGCAATCGTCGGAACAAAACGGATTTCCAGTAAGGCCTCTCGGCCTCCGCGATGACGCCGCCACCGCCCAGCCGTGGCGACGAGAACCTCCGCGGCGAAGACGGCGCCGCCGCCGCTGACGCCTTGCTCGCCGTCGTCTTCTCGCTGCTGTTCTCTCCTCCTCGTCGTCGCCGTCGTCTTCGTCGTCGCTTCGCCGCCGCCGTCGCCGTCGCCGCCGCCGCCGCCGCCGCCGCTGTCTCCGCCGTGCTGTCGCCTTGACCGGTCGCCAGCGCCGCCCCGCGCGGCGACGGCGGCAGAAAGGACCGCGTGCCGCCTGCCGTCCTCCGCCGCCGTCGCCCTCCATGCCCCACGACCTCCAGGTCGCTGAAAAACCAGGGCGGCCAACTTCTGCCTTCGCCCTGCTCGACCCCAGGGCCCTCTGCAGGCCCTGGGGGCCGCCAAGAGGGAGAGGGGGCGACGCGCTGTTGCCTGGGACAGAGTGGAGAGGTTGAAGGGGCCCTGGGACACACGCACATAAATACTCACAGATAAAAGAGCTCCCCATCTATTCTCATCTTCTCTCGGCTTTTGCCCCCACATTTTCCCACATCTTCCTGGGGATCGGCGATTCACTGTGCCTCTGTGTGCTTTGTCCCCCTCCTGCGAGGTGCAGGGTTCCTTCGCTGGAGCCGCCGCTGCCCGAGGCCTGGGGCCCTCCCTCCCCCGCCTGGGGAGCAGGCGCGGTCGCGCCGGCACGCCGCCCCCGAATGGCACCCGCCGGCGCTGCTGCCGAAAAGAACCCGGGGGAAGACAAACCTACCTCGCTTTTGACCTCGCTTCCGAGAGACACCAAACGGTGCCACATTGCGGCCTGTACTGGTCAGGCCGCTTGACGAGGAGGCGCGTGGTATGGCTTGGCTTTGCCTGGGAGCGAAGGCGGGGGAGGTGATTCACGCTCTGAAGAGCCCCCCGAGCTTCCGAGCACGCGGCCAGGGAGCACCACGATGCCGGGCGCCCAGCGGCGGCGTGTCCTCGACTGCCCTCCCCCCCCCCCTCGACAGGCCTCCGGACGGCGTCGTCTCGGCCGCCCGCGGCCCACCTGGGGATCCCCCAAGACCGTGTGGTGACAGACCGCGCGGTGACCTCGGAACCCCAGGAGACCTCACCGCACGGTCGGTCACCGCACGGTCCTGGGACCCTGGAGGCCCCTGTCGTCCGAGACGTCCTCGGAGAGGGACCCGAGCCCCAGAACCGCGCGGTGACCCCGAATCCCCACCGACTCGCCACACGGTGTGGTCACCACCCCGTTTGGGGGTCCCCCGGCCCACGGCAGGGCCCCAGGGCCACCGGAAAGCGGCCCGCGACGGAGAACTCGTCCCGGGGGGAGAGGAACACGGGGAGGGGTCGGGTCAAGAGCTCGGGGGGCCCACTGCCTGCAGCAACAGCAGCACGACGGGGGAGGTCTTGGTCACAGGCCCTATTGCCCTGGGGTCGGGCATGTCCTCCCCCAGGCGGATGTTGGGCGAAAATCGAAAAAATAGCCCCAACATCTTCAAACATAGGAGAACAACAATCGAAAAGTCGTCCCCAGACTATTTTTGGACTATTTTTGATTATTCCTCCTGTAGAGGGACATGCCCGACTTCGTATTACCCTCCCCCCCCACTGCTGACTCCTGCTTTCGCGGCCGGCGACGGGCAGAGGCCTCCTCCACTGCGAGGGCGCGAGATGCGTCGGGCGCCGCGATCGCTCCGGAGACCTCCAGAACGCCCCGAGGAGTCTCCGGCACGTCCTGGAACGATCCGAGTCTCCAGCACGTCCTGGAACGATCCGTCCTTGCGTACCCTGGGCCTGCCTGGCCCGTTCTCGCTCTCATCCCCCCCCGTGCTCCCTGCTTTCGCGGCCAGCGGATGGCAGTCCGTGCGAGTCGCCGATGCGGGCCCTTCTTCGGGAGCGGCCAAGAGGGGGGTGTCCGAGAGGGGGGGGGGCAAATCATGACCGGCGGCACGTGCGCGGCCCGGCGGGGGGGCCGGGGACGTAATGAAACGAGAAGAGGCGCCATGAAATCTGGGGAGATATCATGGCCCCCGCCATGATATCCACCCCCCCCGTAGTCCCCTGACCTTCCAGGAGGGCTAAAAAATAGCACGCGACCTAAAAACCTATCCCAGAGCTATTCGATGTCTTGGTTTTAGGCTGTTTCGTTTCGCTTTTTAGGTTTTTAGGCCTCCAGTGCCAAAAAATAGCTCTCTGGAAGGTCAGGGTCATCACCCCCCTCTCTTCCGCCCCCGACTTCTCTGCGGCCGTCGCCCAAAGCTCCACTCGGGCGCTCGGCCCGCGGGCGCACGAGGCCGGAACGGGCACGGGCAGCCACGACGGGCCGCCACGGCGGGCACCCCGCGTCGCAGAGCCCTGCTCTCTCGCCTGCTCGCAGGCGACAAACCTGGGCGCACGAAAATCGCAGGGACAACGAGCCCAGACTCCCGAGGCCGTGCTTTTCCAATCTCAGGCGTCCTGTACACCCTGCGAAATGCTTTAGAAATCATGGGTTAAGAAATTCATAGTCTCAGAACTTGAATAAAAACCCAACATTTCGATTCAAATCTTAAGAATTACATTGAAACGTTAAGAATAATCGACACTCTGGCCGAAAACTCAAGTTTTCTTAAGCATCGCCTAAGGTGTATGCCTCGACGTCTGGTGGCGGCTGTTTCCAGACTCCAGTGCCATGAAAAAAAAGTCACCCAAGGCGGAACACCAGTCACAGGGAATAGGATGAGAGCTCTGGGGACCGCGTGTTGAAAAATCTCGGCTTCGCAAGTCTGGGACTGGGTCCCACACCAGCCCCAGCTCGGGAGCCTTGAAAGCAGACGATTTGACCCCTCCAGGCATGCCTACCCAGCGAGAGGATATTACACAAAACAGCACAAAGCACTACACTAGCATACGTTTGGGAGGTCCACGTGGATTTCTTGGATCGCCAGGCCCCACTCCGCTGGCGCGCGAGTGTGCCAGGGACGCCGCCAGGTGCCGCCATGGGGTACAAGCACAGATCCAACCTATCCGCCCAGACCTCCAGACTATGCTTGTGCTGCTGCTTTGTTTCCGTCGAGAGGCGAAGATGTATAAAGGACAAGGAGCACGAGGGGAGAACGAGGGGAAGAGCGAGGGAAGGACCGAGAAAACCCAACCACGCTCGCTCACAGAGTCTTGGTCGGGGCGCGGCCGGCTCGGCGTACTCTAGTTCTGCCTCGCCTTCTTGGCCTCGGGCGGCATGTTGCCGCCCTCGCGGTCTGCCCAACGCACCGCAAGGTCATCGCAACTGATCCCGGTCATCGGCTCCCCAATGTTCTCGGATACCTCGGCCAACACCTTGCGGGGTCGCCCGAGTGGGGCCAGAACAGACATGGTCGGAGGATCGCGCCGCTTCGACGATGCATCGCCGATGCGGCGCGGCCTGGAGCTGGACTGTCTCCGTCCCGACGTCGCCGATGCATCGCCGATGCATCGCCGATGCGGGGCGACTCTCCGACCCCATCTGCTCCGACCCCATTTGCGCGGCCTCAATCCTTGGCGTCGTTGAAGTGCGTCACCGCCTTTGTAACAGAGAACCGCTACATACGTATGCTTGCCAGCGGGGAGGACCACAATCGATAAATCATTGCACTGATGTGTAGGCTATGTGGTGCAAGCTGGTGAATATCTGTGGTGCAACTCATGTGGTGCAATCTATGTGGTACAAGCTAGGTGGTGCAAGCTATGAGGTGCAAGATGTGTGGTGCACGCTTGGTGTACGAGTAAGATCTGCGATACGAGCGATGTGGTGTAAGATGAGTGGTGCAACATATCTGGCGCAGCATGTATGATGTAAGGCATGCAGGGGATACGTGTGGTGCATGCTAGGTTGTGTAAACTGCGTGAAGTAAGCCGTGTGGTGCACGCCATGCTCTGCAACGTAGGTGGTCTGCGAACGCTATGTGGTAAATCGCTACGTGGTGAACCCTTCGTGGTGAACGCTGTGCGAAACAGACCGTGCGGCCGCCCAGCGCACGCCGCGCCCACGAGGCGCCCACGACCGGCACCCACCGAGCCCTGGGCGAACCCGCGACGGACCGATCCAACGCACGGGGCACCCGCCCGGCGCCCACGAGCCGTGCACAAAGTCGAGGGGGCGGACAGAGTGCATCAATGTCACGACGCCGCGGGGCCCCCCAGGGACCCGTCGGTGTGCTGCTCCCTCGGTTCTTCGCCAGAGAAAGGCAAAACGCGCAGCCACAGCAACACGCCGATGGGGCCCTGGCCCCCCCCGCGGAGGAGGAGGAGGAGGAGGAGGAGGAGGAGGAGGAGGAGGAGGAGGAGGAGGAGGAGGAGGAGGAGGAGGAGGAGGAGGAGGCGTGACATTGACACTCTTTTCGCCCCCCCGACCAGCGGGGACGCCACGCGAAGCCTCGACGGGCCAGCCGAGCGCGCTGGGCGCACGGGACGACGGCCAGACAGCCCCCACCAGGCAACCGGCGACACCTCGACGGACACAGCCTCCTCCTCCTCCTCCTCCTCCTCCTCCTCCTCTTCCTCCTCCTCCTCCTCCTCCTCCTCCTCCTCCTCCTCCGCGGGGGGGCCCAGGGCCCCATCGGCGTGTTGCTGTGGCTGCGCGTTTTGCCTTTCTCTGGCGAAGAACCGAGGAAGCAGCACACCGACGGTTATCCAACTCGTCCCGACACGTCGGTCGGAAGAGGTACGTGAAAGCATGAACGTAGGAAGGCGGACACCGCAGATTCGGTGGAGGAAGGAGGAAAAGGTACCCATACCTCTAACCCCTCGCCCGTGTTCCCTTTTTTGGGCCTCTTGGGAGGCCCTCGTCGCCACCGCCGGATTCGCCTCGAAATCCTGGTCAGAACGCGCCCTGGGGGAGGTCCAGGGAGTAGCGGCATGGGTACCTCCTGGTTTCCCCAGAAATGGGGCTCAGGCCCCTCCAGAACATCATGACACAGCAAGGGCGCATCGACTCCTGAAGTAGGAAGGCGCCTAAAGTGGGCTGAGATCTGGAAAACCAGGGATACCGACCCGCAAGGACCGACGAGTAAAAGGGAGGGGGCCACAACCTTCCCAGACGAGCAACTTTAGGCCCCCCCCCGTCTGGCCATGAAAAGGCGGCATTTTGCCAAAACCCACCTGGAACCCTCGAAGACAGCTCCAATCAGACCCCCCCCAAAGATCCAACCACCCCCCCTGTTACTGTGCAATCCGGAGTAGGCAACCCGAGTAAGAACCCCTGGTGGAAGCACAGCACGGGAGACAAACCTTGACATCGCTCGGGCGTCCATTTCCCGTGCATTGTTTGGCATCGTGCGTGTTTTTGTTGCTCGATGGTCCAGGATGGTCCTCGATGGTTCTCGCCGAGAAAACATGAACACGTCCGAGCGATGCCAAGAAACTCTTCCTGGGATCGGCGCTGGAACCCTCTTCCCGCACTCCAGGCAGCGGGCGCCCCTGGCGCCGCCCCCAGCGCGCTCCGCGCGCCAGGAGAGGGGCCCGGGGAGAGGGGCCCAACGTCGACTCCAGGAATCCGCGCGGACCTCGTAAGGCTTCCGCCCAGGCGGCTTCTGCTTCTCCTGGCCTTGACGATGGCGCGGGCGCGCTTCTTGGGCTCGGAGGACTTGAAGATGCCGCTGCCAACGAACACGCCGTCCACGCCCATCTGCATGCACAGCGCGGCGTCTGCGGGCGTGGCCACCCCCCCCGCGGCGAAGTTGACGACGGGCAGACGGCCGTCCTTCTTCACCTGCCTCAGCAGCTCCACGGGAGCGCCGATTTCCTTACCGTATGTGAAGATCTCGTCGTCGTCCATCAGCTGCAAATTCCGAATCTCCTCGGGGGATCTACTGACCCCAGTCAACCCGGGTCAGTCAGGTCTTGCAGGATCCTCCAAGATCCCGCAGGATCCTGCACGCACGCCGGGGTCCGTGCAGCCCTGGCCCTGCAGCATCCTGCAAGATCCGGCGCTCTGGCTGACCCCCGCTTGCGAGGACCCCCGTCTCTTGAGCCCGCCTCTCGGGCGGGCGGTGCAGTCGGGGCCCTGAAGAAGGAACCCTTTTGGTTGGGGAGGGGCTCCGCGTTCCTCAAGTGTTTCACAGCTTGCCTCAGGTTTTCCTCGTGTCTTCGATAGGGAACCGAAGTTTAACTCATGGAAAATAGGGGCCTCGTTCCTTATCTAGGGTTCCTTAGGTCAAGGCCCCGACTGTCATATGGGGGGGGTGGCATCGACTGGGGGGTGACACGAAGGGGCCCTGGAGGGGCCCCTCAAGGGTCGCTTTGGGTTCCCTGCTGGCTGCAAAAGGCGCCCTCAGGGGCCCCTTGAGAGCACTCCTCGAAGGATTGCAAAAAAAAACCCATTTGAACGAAGGATTGCAAAAAAACCCTTCGAAGGATTGCAAAAAAACCTTGTTTTTTTTGGAATCCTTGGTTTTTTTGCAATCCTTCTTGCAATCCTTCGAACGAAGGGTTTTTTTGCAATCCTTCACCCCCATTTCAGGCCAAGCCCCCTCCAATGCCACACGCCCGCCGCTGGGGGAACCAAACGGTACCCATGCCGCTGCTCCCGGGACCTCTCCCGGGGCGCGTTCTGACCAGGACTTCGAGGCGAGTCCGGCGGTGGCGACGAGGGCCGCCCAGGAGGCCCCAAAAGGGGAAAACAAAGGAAGGGTAGCGGTATGGGTACCCGCCCTGTCCTTAGGTCGGGCATGTCCTCCTACAGGCGGATTTTTGACAAATAATCAGAAGAGTCAAACAAGATTCAAACGCAGCCACAAATACCAGAAACATCGTCCCCTGAGTATTTGTTGGTTTATTTTTGAATATTTCTCCTGTAGGGAGACATGCCCGGCTTAAACCCTATCCTTGTGAAGCGTGCGGACGTGCATCACCGCCGAGTTCACGTCTCCAGTTCCGGCCTCGCCCTTAGTGCGGATCATGCTGCAACCCTCGGCGACGCGCCGCAGCGCCTCGCCCAGGTTCCTGCACCCGCACACGAAGGGGACCTTGAACTTGTTCTTGTTGACATGGTTGTGATGGTCCGCGACCGTGAGCACCTTGCGGCAAACCCGAATGATAAGGATACGCGATTAGGATGCAAGGGCCTTGGAGGGCCGCGCTAGCGTTTTTCGAACGAGGTTGGCCAGCAAGAGTCGCTAAGGATGGGCCGAAGGGCAAGGATGCAAAGGCACCCTTGGGGAGGTTGCCCATCCTTACTATGCGGGTTGTCTGTAGGACGAAACCAAGACGAAGATAAATTCGGGTGAGGATAAATTGAGAATCTCTGAGACCCGGCGGCCCTGGAGGATGTATCATGATGTATCGGGCGCCGCGGCCTTCCCAGAGCGTTCCGGAACGCTCTGAGAGCGTTCGGACTTATCCTCGTCCTAGCCCCGTCAGATACCTCGCTCTCGTCGATGCAGTCGATGCCGAGCTCCTGGAGCACCTGGGCCTCCACGAAGTGGCCGATGCGGCACTTGGCCATCACCGGGATGGAGACCGCGTTGATGATCTCCTTGATCATTTTGGGGTCGGACATGCGAGCGACGCCCTTCTGGGTGCGGATGTCTGCAGGAATGCGCTCGAGCGCCATGACGGCACACGCTCCAGCGGCCTCGGCAATCTTTGCCTGCTCAGGGTTCATGACATCCATGATCACGCCGCCCTTCAGCATCGAGGGCAGTCCCTTCTTGACGCGCTCAGAGCCCTCCACGACGCTGCCGGTCGGCGCGGCCATCTTCTTTGCAGATCGTCCACAAGCGTCAGAAGCAAAGTTGCGGGCTGGGAGTAAGTCTGCGTGAACCAAAATGGCTAATTACACGTCGGTCGGAAGGAGTAGTCAAAAGCATGAAGTCGGAACGCGGATAAAGCAGATTGGGTGCGGGCCCTCTCAACGAATAACAAAACACAGCAGTATCGCATCGCTTCTTGACGCAGGAATGCGCTTGAAGCAAGTTGGGATCTGACAAGGACCGACCACAACGATGTTTAAAGCGAGATGGCGGGAACCCCTCGGCGTTGGGGTCAGGGTCCGAGGTGAGGTCGCGCCGCACTGGCGACCCGGGCCAGCCCGCTGGCCGGGCACCACTGCCTGCATATCTCGCCAGGCGGACCGCCTCCTCCTGCTTGGCGGCCGCACCTTCCCTCCCCCGCCCCCTGAGATCCGACGCAGCGAAAACAAAATGCAACATCGTCCCGAGACCTATCTTCCCGCGTCCTCTTCCCGAGACCTATCTTCCCGCGTCCTCTTCCCGAGACCTATCTTCCCGCGTCCTCTTCCCAGCCGCAGCGATCCGTGAGGGCCCCCCAGGGCCCGAGAGGAGGCGAAATCGACGGGCTCGAACTCCTGGAGCCGCCAGGATCTCAGGGCCCTCAACTCCCACTAGAAGAAGAAGAAGAAGAAGAAGAAGAAGAAGAAGAAGAAGAAGAAGAAAAAGAAGAAGAATAAAAACAAAAAGAAGAAGAAGGAGAAGAAGAAGAAGAAGACGCATAAGAAAAAACCTCATAAACAGAAACTTTAGCGCTCCGCGCGCAGTTCTTGGATCCGCGCTGGAACCCCCTCCCCGGCGCGCGGAGCACCGCTGCCAACGGCCGGCCGTTCGCACCGGGCCCCCGCCCCCCGGGCCTCTCCAAGGCGTGCCCTGGGTCAGAGCCTCGAGTCGAGTCCAGCCGTGGCCCAGAGGAGCCTCCGAGAGGCCCCCGACTACCTATCAGACCACCCCCAACCCAGCCCGAAGACCTGAATTGCGGGGGGGGGGTGTACGGGCTTCATATGTGTTTTTGCATTGTTCCCCGACCTCCCCCCCACTGGAAACGGAGGGCAAATCGGGGCCTCTGGTTGGGTTGGGGTGGTTTGGTGGGCGGTGATCCCCAGGCTGGGAGCCATACATTCAACCCATACAAGATGGGCGCACGAGAAGGATGCAAGGGCTTAGAGGGCCATGCCGACACCCTGCGAGTCAGGCGCGGCCAGCGAAAGCGGCCAAGGATTTGTCGAGGGGGAAGGATGCCGGGGTGACCTTGGAAAGTCGCTCATCCTCGCCATGAGGGTTGACAGTACAGCCATCGTGCTACACCAAAGAGCGCTGAGCAAGGACCCAAGGAGCTTTTCTGGCCACGGCCACCCTTGGCCACCAACAGGCCCCCCGACGCAGATCTGAGGAACGGCCGGAAAAAACCTTAGCCTCTCCGGAGCCGAACGCGGTCCCAAATTCTCAGTGTGTTCACCGTAAGGCACACTCCTGGACCCATGAGCCTCGAACTCCCTCGAGTCTCGACGACGACGCCGCCCGCCAGCCCGCGCATCCGCCCGAGGCCTCGAGCAGGGCGCTTCGGCTACGGGTTGCGTGGCACGGAGCCGGGGAGGGCGTCGCCGGTGCCGGGCCTGGGGCGCGAGGGTGAGAGAGAGAGAGGGTGAGATATTGGGGGGAGATGGGGATGATGTGAACTGGAAAGAGGTGGAGGAGGAATGAGGAGGATCAGTGTAAACCCAACGCCCATCAATGATCTTGCAATACACAATCCCTCCAATGTCCCTCTTCATAGGCCCCTACAAATATTCGTTTCACTGTAAGAAATGCCCCGTTGAACGACCACCGTTTGAGTATCGGGAACTCTGCCATAACACCGTTCCTGGGACTTCAACGCCGCGATTATCCGTTACTGTGGCGTATTGGCGATCCTGAATCGTGCCACAACATACATCTGGGACTTCAGCGCCGCGAATCCATGTGACTATTGATCCCTGACGTTCGGACATCGTGCCAGAACGCCAAGCCTTGGATGTTTGCCAGGATAATCCGTCTGAAAGCAGCACATGCGGGCAACTCTGAAACGAGATCTGCATGTCGAACAGGGCCCGCCCCTCCACTCGTGAACCTGGTGCACAACTTGCAAGCGAATGCGTGCGGCGCTCTGGCGAGAACCACATTTTGAAAACAGGCGGAGGGAGGAGGAGGGAGGAAGAGTAGGAGGAGGAGGAGGAGGAAGAGTAGGAGGAGGAGGAGGAGGAGGAGGAGGAGGAGAGCCCCCCCCATCCATAAAACTCTTGCAAACTTTTGACGCGCGGAGCTGCAGCGAGAAAACCGGTCCGCCCGCCGTGAAACTGCTGCAAACTCTACGAAAGGGATATGCGCGCGGCGCTGAGACGGCAACCGCCTTTTGAGAGCCATCCGCCCTGAACCCGTGAAGCCTTTGCAGACCTTGAGAACAAATATGCGCGGCAACACGGCGAGAACCACATCTTGAAAGCGACCCGCTCTCCTGCAAACCCTTTAGCGTCAATCTTAAAGTTGTGGGGAGGTGTCACTCGAAACGCCCCGCCCGCCGCTTCGACGGGCCTCGGGGTCCGGCAAGGAAGACTTCGTCGTAAGGAAGGGGGATGGAGAAGGATTGGGGACGGGGAGGATGACCAGTAGCAATGGCAAGGGAACAGTGAGAACGACAAGGAAGTCTTCTTCCTTCACTCCTCTTCTTTGTCAGGGGAAGAACAAGGAGAGGGATGAGGAGGAGGAGGAGAAGAGGAGGAGGAGGAGGACGAGGAGGAGGATGACATGGGGAGGACGAGGGTGATGAGAAAGAGGGGGGTGATGATGACAATGGCGATGCTGATGGAAATGCTGATGGAAGTGATGCTGGACATGATGATGAGGATGAGGATGAGGATGAGGATGAGGATGCGGATGATGATGATGATGATGATGATGATGATGATGATGATGATGATGATGATGATGATGATGAAGAGAAGCTCTGAAGGTAATGTTTGATGGGGGGCAGGAGGAGGAACATGAGGACGCGGATGGGGAGAAACAAGAGGAGGAGGAGGAGGAGGCGGAGCAGAGGAAGAGGAGGCGGAGGAGGAGGACGAGTACCCACCGGTCGGAAGAAGTAGGTAGAAACATGAAGTAGGAAGGCGGAATAAGTAGATTGCGTTCGGGGCCGCCCCCCAAAAAAAACAGCAACAACAATTACAATAAGTAGCTTACAAATTTCCGGGCCCTGTCTTAGCGGCGCGCATTAGCGCTAGGTCGCTCGGCCCCTCGGATGGCCCCTTCCCTGGCTGGTTTCGGTTGTTCTGGCTTTTTTTGTTTGTCCGTCGATCGCACTGGCATGGCAGCCTTTCGGTGGCTCGGCCCCTCGGCTGGCCCCATTCCATCGTTTTGTTTGTTTTTATTTGTTTTCGCTTGTCCGTCGGCTGCACTGGTCGCCCCAGGCTCGCCCGCCGCCCCGCGGTCGCTCGGCCCTTCGGCTGGCCCCATTCCTTGGTTCTGTTTGTTTTTGTTTGTTGTCGCTTGTCCGTCGGCTGCGCTGGTCGTCTCAGGCTCGCCCGCCGCCCCGGTCTTCGGCCCCCCGGCTGGCCCAATTCACTGGTTTTGTTTGCTTTTGTTTGTTCTCGCTTGTCCGTCTGCACCGGTCGTCCCAGGCTCGCCCGACGCCCCGCGGTCGCTCGGCCCCTCGGCTGGCCCCATCCCAACGTTTTGTTTGTTTTCGCTTGTCCGTCGGCTGCACTGGTCGCCCCAGGCCCGCCCGCCGCCCCGCGGTCGCTCGGCCCCTCGGCTGGCCCATTCCTTGGTTTTGTTTTTGTTTTTGCCTGTTTTCGCTTGTCCGTCGGCTGCACTGGTCGCCCCAGGCCTGCCCGCCGCCTTTCGGTCGGTGGCCCCTCGGCTGGCCCAATTCACTGGTTTTGTTTGTTTTTGTTTGTTTTCGCTTGTCCGTCGGCTGCGCTGGTCGCCCCAGGCTCGCCCGCCGCCCCGCGGTCGCTCGGCCCCTCGGCTGGCCCGATTCCTTGGTTTTGTGTTTGTTCTTGTTTGTTTTCGCTGGTCGGTCGGCTGCACTGGTCGCCCCGGGCTCGCCCGCCGCCCCGCGGTCGTTCGGCCCTTTGGCTGGCCCCTTTGGCTGAAACAAACAAAACCAAGGAAAAGGGCCAGCCGAGGGGCCGATCGACCGAGAGGCGGCGGGCGAGCCCGGGGCGACCACTGCAGCCGACGGACAAGCGAAAACAAACAAAAACAAACAAAACCAAGGAATCGGGCCAGCCGAGGGGCCGAGCGACCGCGGGGCGGCGGGCGAGCCCGGGGCGACGGAGGAGCGAAAAGGAACAAACACAAACAAAACCTTCGCCGAAGGGCCGAGCGACCGCAGGGTGGCGGGCGAGCATGGGGGGACCAGTGCAACCGACGGACAAACGAAAACAAACAACAACAAACAACGCCACGGAAATGGGCCAGCCGAGGGGCCGAGCGACCGAAAAGCCGCGGGCGAGCCAGGGGCGACCAGTGCAGACGACGGACAAACGAAAACAAACAAAACCAATAATTGGGCCAGCCGAGGGGCCGAGCGACCGAAAGGCGGCGGGCGAGCCTGAGGCGACCAGTGCAGCCGACGGAGAAGCGAAAACAAACAAAAACAAACAAAACCAAGGAATGGTGCCAGCCGAGGGGCCGAGCGACCGAGAGGCGGCGGGCGTGCCTGGGGCGACCAGCGCAGCCGACGGACAAGCGAAAACAAAGACAAACAAGCACAACCAAGGGATGGGGCCAGCCGAGGGGCCGAGCGACCGAAAGGCGGCGGGCGAGCCTGGGGCGACCAATGCAGCCGACGGGCGAGCGAAAACAATCAAACAACAAACGAAACCAAGGAATGGTGCCAGCCGAAGGGCCGAGAGACCGAAAGGCGGCGGGCGAGCCTGAGACGACCAGCGCAGCCGACGGACGAGCGAAAACAAACAAACAAACA